ATTCCGATGTGAGCAATCCTTTTGTATCGGTTGTGGGTGGTGAGAAAAGCGATGTGTTGGTGTGTAGTGTGGTTGGTATGATGTGTAGCTGTGGTTGTGTGGATGACATGTTGTGTTGTATTGGGTTGTGTGACCTTTTGTATGTTGTGTGTGGATTTTGTGCGATGAGTGCTGCGAGGAGGATATGTATAGCGTAACAAAATATCGCACGACCGGATGTCGCATAAACAGATAATGAAATTGCTTTTTTTTATTAAAAAAGAAAAAATTTAAAGATAAATAACTACGAAGACCAAATTTCTTTGCCGATTGATCTTAAAAATATTAGCTCATTAAGATACTGAGGTGATAAGCGACTCCTCAACTGATTTGCGATAAGTCCTGCATGTGAAAATAATCGCTCACTGGGTACAGACGTTGCAATTATTGGCAAGTACTTTTCAGCTACATTCCATAGATACGGATATTCAAATTTCATCATTTCCCACACAGTGGGTATTTTGTTGTTTTACCAACTATATTACCATCAGATGCTAAGTACAGTGGAGAACATTAATGCCTATAGGATAGTGTATGTTTTCATGAGTACAGTAGAAAGCTGTATAAAGTTACTTAGGTTCTCTTTCTTTCTCTTATAAGTATTTTGCGATAAAATTTAAACAACTATAGTTACTTGGTGCAGGTCTTATCTTAATTACGTCGATTGTCGAAGTCATCGAGTAGAAGTCGATTCAATCGATTCAAGACAGGCTTCAATCGATCCTAAAAAGTCGATTATTTCTATTAAAATATCGATTTTTGACTAAAGTCAGAGTCAACTTTCCTATCCCAAGGGTGAACCTGCTAAACTGGTAGGCCGAGCTGCGYAATGCCTAAATTAACTTTTATTTATTTACTGAGTGTTTTTTTTATGTGCTTATAGATTATACTCAACACTTTTCAATTTGCTAGGCGGTCTTACTCGACATTAAAAACATTCACAGAATCTTTGAACGTCACTCAGGCAGCCATATCAAAACATTCAAATGCTGTTTGACCACAATGGAAATAACTCAATTTTGCGTGTTTGTGACTGCTGATGAATAATGGATCCATTTCAGCAATCATAAACTCAAAAATCATAGGTGAAACTTGATCAATCAGACAAAGCTGAATTTATATGATAAATTTAAATTACTCAAAATTAAAATATTGTTAAATAAGACTCTTTGATTCGAGAGAGAGGCGTCAAAACCCCATCTTTTATATTATGTGCCAATGATGCCACCATTGAAAAATATTAGATTGTGCAATTCGTTTTAGTGCTGCCCTTCTGGCATCCCGCCTTTTTCACTAATACCAAGAATGATAGAGAAAGAGGTTATGAAGTGCGCATGTTTGCTTTCAGTCAGCTGTTCTTGCTGACGTCAGGGTTAACTTATTATTCGCCCGCGCCTTTGAATGTGAACTCGAATTGTACTATCGGTTGAAGTATTAATTGAGAAATTTTATATTTTTTAAAATGCGCTGCGCAGTGTTCGGATGCAATAATAACAATGTTAAAAATAGTGCTACGGAGTGGAGATTTTTCCATTTCCCTAAGGATAAAACAGTACTAAAACAATGGATTAATTTTTGTAGTCGGGCGGACAAAATTAATGTTAAAAATGCGTTCATTTGTGAAGTGCAATGCACTCCAGGAGCCTCCGAAAGCAGCTTGCAGTTTATAATGGGTAATTATATCATTTTGACTACAATTATTTTACTTTTATAACCAAACAACGAAGGAGAGGTTACAGATGAAGGAAATGTTAAAATCGACAACACCCAGATTTGGAAGGGAATTACTTATATCTAACCGGTAATTATCAAAATGTTGAAAGTACATAGCATTATAAACCTAAAACTACAGAAMACATTTTAATATAAAAATGAACTGATGTTAACACATGCAAATATATACTTACATACAAACTAAGTTTTTGCATACTTACCACTGTTTCTTATCCAACTTATAATAATAAACTTAACAAACAATTTATTCCATTTATTTATACGCATGTATGTATGTTTATTATATTTTTGCAGGTAATATTTTTTAACGTGTATCAGTAGATCTAAATTTCACTGGCCCAACTGAAAAAAAAATTTACTTGAGAATTTGGCAGGGTACATTTGCCACAAACTTAGTAAAGACAACCCCGAAATTTCTGTCAATTCAGAAAATTGTTCATCTTATACTTGGGTGGATTCCCTTTCTAAAGGAGAACTCTCAAAACCAACAGATATGTTGATGGAGCATATGAGAGCCTTGCAAACAGTATTTGACGACATAAATGGTACTGATTTGCATATATGTACAAATTATGTTCAAAAGCACCTAGATTTAAGTAATTTTGTAAACTGTACCACGAAAAAAAAGAACTATTTTTTAGAGCTAGAATGTATTTTATGATTCGGTCCTTAAATAAAAGCATATTTGAAAATATCGAAAATTAAAAAAGACAATAAATTGATAAAATTAAATACAAAATATCCCCGCAAAACTAAAACGGCTGTGTAAGCTGAAGGTCCTCTCCGAGCTGTTCGATACCAAACGAGGTTTCAGACAAGGYGATTCCCTATCGTGCGACTTCTTCAACCWGATTCTTAAGACAATAGTTCGAGCTGAAGAACTAAATAGAGAAGGTACCATCTTCTATTAGAGTGTACAGCTGCTGGAGTATGCCGGTGATATTGATGTCATCGGCCCCAACACCCGCTCTGTTAGTTCTACTTTCTTCAGACTGGAGAAGGAAGCAAAACAATATAAATCACTCATAATTCCCGTCCTGCTGTATGGTGCAGAGGCTTGGACGATGTCAACAACTGATGAGTCGACATTGCGACTTTTCGAGAGAAAAGTTTTGCGAAAGGTTTATGGTCCTTTGCGCCTTGGCCACGGCGAATATCGCATTCRATSGAACGATGAGCTGTATGAGATATATGACGAAATTGACATAGTTCAGCGAATTGAAAGACAGCGGCTACGCTGGCTAGGTCGTGTTGTCCGAAYGGACGAAAACACTCCAGCTCTGAAAGTATTCGACGCAGTACCCGCCGGGGGAAGCGGAGGAAGACCTCCACTCCATTGGAAGGAACATGTGGAGAAGGACCTGGATACGCTTGGAATATGCAATAGACGCCACGTAGCGAAAAGAAGAAGCGACTGGCACGCTATTGTTAACTCGGCTATAATCGCGTAAGCGGTGTCTAGGCCAATTAAGAAGAAGACTTTGTTGTTGTGCCGTTGCAACCACCTTGCAATTCGTGCACCGTGCAAGAATTTTTCACGATCTAGCGAATCCCCCTAATATACAATATCAAGTGACAGCTGTATTTGTATATGGAAAGTAAACAAATATCAAGTGACAATTTATGGCCGGCAAAATATTTCTTCCAATAAACTCGATTAAACTAGAGCAGGCACCGATTATATTGAGTGGAATGTAAGTTTTCAAGTAGTTTTCAGCGGAAACTGGTTTYGGTAAAGGTTCAGCAGAGCGGCTTTTCCGAAAACGTGCACCAATTTTCACGTGAAGTGTCTTAAAATATTTGGTTTTAACTCTACTTTACGAATATGTAGGGCGCATGCCTTTGTATTAAAAATTCACTTTTACACTTAACAGGTCTTTAGATGTTAAAAATATATTTTCTATCAATTATATGCATGTAATTATTGATACTGTTTAATTAATCAATAAGAGAAAATGGTTTATGTGTTATTTTTATAAAAATATGAAAATTTCACAATTACTTCACAATTACGCACTTCAACGAAAATGGAAAGCTTATGTTCGAAATTATGGCATCCCTGTTCTATATTCGAATGGCAACTATTGATTCATGCACTGATCATTTTCGAATTATCGATATTCGAGACTGAACGAGAGGTAAAAATGAAAAAAACGAGCGCTCGAAAAAAAAAATAACACTGGGGTGTTCAAAATTCTTCTGTGTCCAACTTCTTATTCATTCTGCAATAATAATGAATTATAAATTTTCCTATTATGTATTTCACATCTTTAACAATTCTCTTTCAGTCTCGAATATTGAGAATATCGATATATTAATTTTTTTTATTTTTCCAGTTATTATTACTTTTCTATTATGTATCTCTCATTTTTATCAATTCTTGTTTAGTCTCGAATACCGAGGGTACCGATATTTCGAAACCGTTCACTAGTGCTCAATTGAATTTCGAACAGGGTTGCCATATATGGCGTAAATATCGTGCAAAATCATAAAATTTTGAATGGTTTTTATTCCAAAAAAAAAAAAACAAAAAAGGTATCCCGCCATATATATTCGTAAATGGGAATTGGAACACGAATTTTAAGACATTTGCCGTACAAATTAGTGCACGTTTTCGGAAAAGCCGCTGAGCCTTTACCCTAGTTTTCAATGTGTTTTTGTTTGACAGATTTTAAGTGGACGAAAACACAACTTTTACCGCGAAAACCAATTTTTCCCACGAAAACATGTTTTCATTGTTGGTCCGAACATGGTATAAACACTGATTGACGGGGCCCTGATTGTGTTTTGTTGCCAGCTCAGAAAAAAGATCAGGGTCCGTTGCCGGATGACAAGCGAGAGAGCAAGAAAAGATATTCTTATCAATTTATCTATAGCAATTCTTGGTCGTGTTACTCCAGCATAAGGGAAGCTATTCTCTTCACGGCAGTTTTTTGTTTTCCAATTATAACTCAATTACACTATGCAGCTGGAAAAGGAGGTATTATTTTGAATATATAGTATTTTTCGTTGTAAATAGAAATTCATTTAGGACATGAAATCTGGAAATAAATTTAAATCGTCTAAGGATGTTCTAGTTCGGATATTCTTGGTGTTTCTTTTAATAACTACTGTTACTGCTGTTTTATTGGAATTTGGGATTCCGGATAGCAGATTATGGAAAACTGAAAAAATCATTGAAATACAGCCCTCGGAAGCATCAGAAATTAATTATTACAAATTTGCAATATATCCTCCTTTCAAACAATCAGATAAACATCTTCATCACGTAATAGAAATATTAGGACAAATGGGATATAAAGAAACCTCTATGAATAATAAAAATTGGAGTTTACTCTGGGCACATGAATACCCTTTTCTCAAAATGGGACCAAGGATAAGAACTATTTTGCCACGTCAAATGGTTAACCATTTTCCTGGTATAGGGTTCATTACAAGCAAGGTTGATCTATCCACTGCTGCATTTCCATTCATGCCTAAGGCTTTTCGGTTGCCAGAACAGCAAGCAGAATTTTTAAAATTTGCAATGGATAATCCCGATTCCATATTTGTGGAGAAAAACAACAAACACAGATCCATTAAAATTCGACCTTTGAATTCTATAAACTTGAATGCGTCTGACTGTTTCTTACAAGAATATGTTCAAAACCCTTTTTTGGTAGATGGACACAAATTCGATTTAGGAGTTTATATAGTATTGACGTCTATTGAACCATTAACAGTATATATGTATGGAGGAGACATTTTGTTCCGTTACTGTCCGGAAAAATATTATCCATTTGAAGCTGAAAATATTAATAAATACGTCATTGGAAATGACTATTTACCAACGTGGGAAGTTCCTTCTTTGATCAAATATTTTGAAAGATTTGGGGGAAGTATGCGCTCTTCTTTCGATGCATACGTACGAGATCAATTTTTAGACCCATCTGTAATTTGGGTGCAAGTTGAAGAGATTGTACGTCAGACTATATTATCCAAGAAAAATAACATTTTAAAAGCAATGCAACCCTTTAAAAATGGAAAGTATTTCGAGCTCCTACGATTTGATTTAATTGTTGATGATAAGTTACAAGTTTATCTCATGGAGGTCAATATGTCTCCTAATCTTTCATCGGCACATTTCAAACCTAATGCACTGTTGTACCAACAAGTTTTATACAATGTTTTAAATTTAGTTGGAGTTGGATCACCTCTTCGAATTGATAAAAGGTAATTTCTTAACGTTTATATGAATATTTACATTTAGACATGGACGTTTGTTGAGATGCTTATTTCTATCTATTTAGGTTTTTTAATGATGAAAAAATAACATCGGATAAAAATATTGCGGTAAATCTGAATGATTGTGCTAAATATGCCTGTCATAAGTCCTGTAATAAATCTGAATGTGATCTCTGTTTATCCTGCTTGAAAGCTTCAGAAGTTAATATATTAAAAGCGGCACATTATGAACATTTACATAAAATGGAAATGAAGAGAATATTCCCAAAAACAATGGTAAGTTAAAGATGAACTCGGTATTAATCGGGAAGACTTCCTCTTTCCAACGGTACCTTCAGATCGCGGCGCCAAAGAAATCAGAATTGTCTCAAGATGAATATGAACCGGTTCAAATTGCATTAGTATACATACATATTAGACCGGTTCAAAATTTTAAAACTTTGAAATGTTGAAGTGCTCTTTGATTGTTTGGATCCTTTTGGTGAGAAAATAACTGAAACAAAATTTGAGCTCATTCGGATAAGATTTAGAACTGCCTCAACGAATTCAAAATTCACTAATATATGCTGAATCAAACAAAAAAAAAAAAAAAAAATTTTTTAATATAATTTGTACATACATATGTATGTCTGTCTTACTTTACTGGAAAATCATTGGTAAATACATTTTTAATTATATAATTCCTTTATTATTTCATTTTTTGTTACATATTTTCACATTCAAATATTTTGAAACAAAGTGTTTTTATTACAATTAGTGAAGTTTTTACGGTGACTCTCCACAACTTGTAATAGAAATTGTTTTTCGCTCTCGTTTGTCGTTAAGGAGTGATTAAAATTTGTTGCTAGAGCAATTGCTCTTTCAGCACTATCATTTACGACTTTCAAAGCCATTATATATTTTTTTGCTTCATTAAAAGATTTGCTTTGATTCCACGAGTCTATGTCTTCATTTAGAAAAGTCACATCCAATTTCAATATTTCAAATAAAGTATGAGAAGCAGAACCAATGAAAAAGGCTATTGTTTTATCATTCAGATCTTCTGTACCAATATATTTAACAAATCTTTTAAGAGGCTTTTGCATTTTGAACTCATTTATTCGAGTCACCATCAAACTTTGCATTGTTTTAGGTACCAAATCCGAGAAAAGGGCAATTGGAGCTAGTTTTTCGCTTAAATACCATAAGTGTCGACTTAATGTAACTGTTACGGTCTCTGATATTATTTTTGATATGGTGCTATACTTAGAAAAATATTTTATTAGATTTAAGTCATTATAAGGTGCGTCACAGGCATTTGGACTTTGTATCCAAGCTTTTACTTATATTAATGTAATAAATATACCGAACTCAACACAAGCCTTTTGCTGGGCTGAATTGACTTCGAAAAAGGCAAATTTTTAGAACATAGAGCAATTTTGACATCCAACGCACGTGATGAAATGCGCCAGGAGTACGAAAACTGATACCGCGTGGAGGAGTTTCTTTCTAGAATATTAACGTTAGTTCTAATAATTCACGGTAATCTTCTCTTAACAATTGCCCTGAATTTTTCTTTAAAATATCGCTTGCAAAAGCTATTGCTTCTATTTTAAGTGAGAGTAATTCATTACTTATTCGACTATCAGAACATTTCTCGTATTCGCTTCGATTAATGTTTGGCCAAAATTCCCGAAATGACCTAAATATTTGTACGCCGGGGCCAGATGTTGAACCAAATAATGCTTTAAAAACATCTCCGCAAATTACTTCAAAGGTGTAGTGCCGGCAAGCTAGCCAAAGTAATTTGTTTTCAGTTTCTGCTCCAAAAGAACGCATGTTCCTTTCAAACGACCCGTATTTGATGCAGTGGTATCAACAGACATTCCGACAATTTGATGGCACATATTACACATCTTTATACCTACAAGTAATTTTCCAACAAAATGTATAACTAAAGGAACATTGGGCGAGAATATTCCCTTAAGGTTTGAAGCATGTTAACTTCTGAACTGACTACGCATTCTACAAATGGTGCTGACTGATAAAACAGTTTCAGAAGCATGATCCGCACTATACGTTTGAGCAACTGCTGAAMGAATATAGGCTGCTTTCCTATAATTTGTATTAAAGAAATAAGTATATTGTTAAAATACATGTCAACTTAAAAACCAAAATTAACTTTCCTGTTACTGGTGTTCGTGCGATCCAATGCGGACGCAAGATTTCGTGACATTATTTTACGCTGTTTAATTTCTTTATTTCGCGGTATTAATGTTTTATTTTGACTAATAAACTCATTATCTTTATCGTCATCATGATCAGACTCTTCGTCACTAAGAGAGGTTGAAAGCGTTGCAGGTTCTAATGTTTTTCGTTTTCTGATTTCTTCTTTTTCAACTCTGTCCATCATTTTTAATACCTTCGCTGTTTTATTTCTTTTTTTTTTGCACATATTTTACGTCTACTCTACACCATCACATACTTTCTTTCTGACCTTTAGTCTAATAAAAATTGCTTATCTTCTTCGATTTTTATTAAATTCAAAGCATAATGATGAGCTATGTCAAAGATTAAATTAATGTTTTCCATAAACGTATTTTCTTTAGCAATCTGCACATAACTTCTGCGATTTTTATTCCGGCAGATATTGCAATATTCATCCAATATTGATGTCATTTTTCTTATAATATTCCGCCCCTCAACAATTGGAATATTTGCTTTACACCATACATATATCACAAATGCTTTGAACAACTATTTTCACGCTATCTCTTTGAGATTTATTAAGTCTTGAATGATGGAAAAAATAAACTTGCAAGAACCGTTGGTAACAGCCTGCCATCAAAGCAAGGTTTGGATTTGCCAATCAGAGGAATTGTACTTTTAGATCACGTAGAAGTCATATTATTACTTATTAGTCAAATTATTACAAAATAATTCATTATTTACAGCAAATTAAACGTACAGACCGCTTCTGGTTGAGAGCAAGTCAAAACTGACAAAATACACTTATTCCGCATTCGACGCCAATTTTACGTTAAAGTACCGCTATTTTTGCATTTTGCTTTGCTTTGCTATTTCTTCTCGCTCTTTGAAACCCGCTCTTTAAAGCCAAAGAGAAAAAAAACTAAGATTGATATGTTCGAAACAAATATTGATAAAAAAATGCAATAGTAAATCACTAAATTGAATAACATAACCAGTGGTAAAATTTGACATCGTTGAGGCAGTTCTAAATCTTATCCGAATGAGCTCAAATTTTTTTGCAGTTATTTTCTCACCAAAAGGATCCAAAAAATCAAAGAGCGCTACAATATTTTCACCATGGATTTTTTTCTATGAAACTTGAATCGCCCTAATACATATGTATGTAGGTATGTGTGTATATATGTACATAAATGTGTATGTAAATTATGGGCACGATTCCGATTGGCGGTCGGGTAAAAGAGAATTTCGGTATAAATGAGGGCACGATTCCGATTACTTTGGCGGAGGAGTAGAAAACCCGAATTTCCGTGTAAATGGGGTATTTGCGGATAGGGCAGCTTGTCCAGACGAGGAATATCCAAAAATAATATAAAAATTACTAATATTCACGTTTAAAAGTTCAAAAATTTGCACTAAGAATACGTTATTTCTCTATGTTTCACACAGTTTTTTTTCACGTTTTTTACCTTGTATATTTAAATATACACTCTAAGCTTTAAAATAATCTCACATTGCACATTTATTTTATAATTTTTCAGCTAAAGTTATTAATTTAAAAATCACTTGTACAGATCATCGTTCTCTGCTCACTCTGGCGTTAAAGTCGCCAAGCACGATTTTGACATCGTAGCGGGGGTAGCTCTCATAAGTGCTTTCCAAACACTCATAAAATTCATCTTTGGTCACATCGTCCTCCTCTTCCGTCGGGGCGTGGGCGCAAATCAGCGATATGTTGAAGAACCTTGCTTTGATGCAGATTGTGGCTAGACGTTCATTCACCGGGGTGAATGATAGTACTCGGCGACGGAGTCTCTCTCCCAYCACGAATCCCACACCAAACTTGCGCTCCTTTATATGGCCACTGTAGTAAATGCCACAAGGACCTACTCGTCTCTGTCCTTGTCCCGTCCATCGCATTTCTGGGACGGCGGTGATGTCACCCTTTATTTTTACGAGGACATCAACCAGCTGGGCAGCGGCACCTTCCCAATTAAGGGACCGGACATTCCAGGTGCATGCCCTCAATTCGTAGTCCTTATTTCGTTTGCCATGGTCGTCATCAAAATTGGGGTCTCTCATCCGAGGCTGTTGTTACGCTTTCATTGGGTTGGTTTTATAAGTGGCGGGTCCTAAACCCAGCGCACAACCCTATGCAGGGAATGTTTCGCCTTCTCACTTTTGCTCGCCTTCAAACGGATGTTCTTAGGCTACCCAGAGGATACTTGGTCAAGGACCGGAAGTCGTTAGCTGCTTGAGTCATATGTAAAAGAATCGTTTCTGGCCACTCCCAAGTGAATGGCGATCAGAGAACTTTCCTCACTTGCGTGAACTGCTACACATGACTCCATCCTCCATCCGCGCCGCGCTTCAATACAAATAACCATGGCAACCCTTTTCTTATTGTGCAAATGCAGAGAATTTAACTAAGATAAAATAATTAAAATAAAGCTTTCTTTACAACAAATATTAAAAAAAATTAATATACAGAAACCTTATAGTGAAGTGTTAGTAAGTGAAAAGTCATAATATAAGTGAGAAAGTTATTCACAATATACAAATTGTCAATGTAAAAGTTGTAAATTTTTCAACTTTAAATGCAAATATCTTTAAAACTATAAGTCAGCGGCAACTATATATATATATKTCCAATCCCAGCCAAATTTATGGCTGATAAGTTTAGAGCGTTTATATTTACGAAGAAAACCAGCTTTGCCTCAACTTAAAAACCAAAAGTGAAGGATTTTTCAGCGTTTTCTTTGCTTGTACTTTCGAGTGATTCTATTTTCTTTATTAACTATAAAAAAACGATTAAGAAGATTTTTCAAGATAAAATTTAATATGTGAACACTTTTCTATATACATACATATATGAATATATGAATAATATGTGATTTATATTTAATAAACACAGATAAGTAAAATCCTGTTATAATATTATAATATTTATATGATTGTAATATAACATTTTTATATGCATATTACAATTTTATACTATCCTTCTCCTTCTGCGTTGGCGGCTTTCGACCACGCTCTAAAAAAATAACCCTGGCCAAGCGAATACTGGAAGTACTTTCGCTTAGTACTCCTTTCTGCGTTATATTGAGTTTTTATTATAAAGTGGTTATATGTTTTGGTTATCATGCACTAATTCAAACAAAAGATATTTAAAAAAGAAAATATCCATTTTTTGCGAAAAAGAGGAATTTCAGCGGACTGCCTTATCATCACATTACAGCGCTGCATTTTGTCATAATTTTTGGTAAACAACTGAGGTTCAAACGAGTGCCAACGGTACCTTCAAATCTCGGCGCCAAAGAAATCGGAATTGTGCCTAAATGGGGTATGCACGGATAGGGGAGTTTCGCCAGAGGAAGAATATGAAAATAGTACTTCTTTCTGCGTTGGCGGCCTTCGGTTGCATTCTGAAATATTACCGTGGTCGAGCCAATGCCCGGAGTGACTGAAGTACTTCGCTTTAAAAAATAACTCTGGCCGAGCCATTACCCATTGTGACTGAAGTACTTTCGAGTTGTACTCTTTTCTTCTTATTATCATATGGCAGCGCTCCATTTCCTCATAAGTGTTATTAGATAAATGATGCTCATGTGCTGAACACAGTGAACTGAAAATGGAGTTGTGACTTGAACATTTGTGATACCACAAACAGCCAAAAACGTAGACCCGTGGCCCGTGTCAGCTGAAACGACCTATCTTATGGGCGCGCAATGTAAGTGAACACCGAAAAACGCTCCTCCCTTCTCTCTTTGTCGTAGGAATCCACGGCATTTGGATTTTTGACGCAGAAACGGGTCAGCTGATTGCTCTCTCACAATGCAGGGTTACCAATCTCGATATACTGTAGTAATTATAAAAGTTTTCTTCAATATGTTTGAAATTTTCTTAAAATAACTCAAAATCAGAGTAGAMTGCTATTATTTATAAAAATATAAACTATTTTTAATAGTTTGTTTTCAGTTTTGGTATTTTATATTATAAAAAATTGTAATTGAAAACTTAGATGTGTACAAAAGTATATATGCGTATTGAGCAATGGCAACATTGTTCAAATGAAAACGTACAAAGATGGCTGATTTCTGCGTTTTCACCACGGGCTCAACTTTTGACACATTTTGCTCGCTACGGAAGGAAAAGGAAGGAAGGGAGTAGCGTTTTTGGAAGTTTATGCTGTCCATTTGCATGTACACAATTTCGTTGTGGCCGTGCTAATATCTTGCATATCAATGAAATTTTAATATTTTATTCAAAGTGAAATTTTTAAGCAAAAAAGAAGTAGATAGGTAAATTTATTTGTTTTAAATTATCAATGTTTATTACAAATGATATATCATAGCTATTTTATGCTTTTATTTGTAAAATAACTTCAGGTTTGTTAAAGCTTTGAATAATTTTACATTTACCTTACTTTTACATTTCTACCTCATCTCATCTCTACTGTCGTTGACAAATATAAGAATATATTGAAGTTAGCGAGAACGACAGCTGTCGGCCTGCAGTCGTGTAGTCGTTCAGCTGTCAAAATAACTCTTTCCATAAGAAAGTGTGTATTTTAATGTTTGACAGTTGTCGTTTGCAGTCTGTGGCGAGCATTGTGTTCAGCACATCACGACGAGTGTAAAAAGTAATTTTTAAAATACACAATTCTCGCTTATAAAACCTTCAAAAAGTGTAAATTGTGAATTTATTTAAATGTTTACTGTTTAAATAAATGATTTTGAAGTGAAAAAATGTGCATAAGGTGTGTAAAATGTAGTGAAATAGCTAGTTGAAATGTTAAAATATTGGAAATTTTTGAACTTTAAAGTCGAATATCTCGTAAACTAAGCGTTTGCGTTACCTATAAATCTATTTTTTAATCAGGAGGATTTCCTCTTTTCAACGGTACTTCAAATCGCAACGCCAATGAAATCGGAATTGTGCCAAATTATGTTGTGCACTTTCACTTTCAATAAAAAAGCAATATTGTAACGGTGAGGTCGGAGCAAATTATGTTTTGTACTATCACAGTCATTGAAAAGGCTAAGTTGTAACGGCGAGGGCGGAGAAAGTACATATATTATTGTTAAAATACCAATTGAACTGAGAAATATTGTTGAACTGTTATTTAACCAAAAAGTTGGATGCATAAGTGTCTGCTGCTATATCCGGCAATCCGAATAAACATACGCCAACACAATCGCCGCCGACATAGGTAAGAACCGGGTACTGCTGCTTGGCTAAACAAAAAGTGGGTACAATTCCGATTTCTTTGACGCCGCGATTTGAAGGTACCGTTGGAAAGAGGAAGTCCTCCTGATAAAAAAATATATAGGGTTAGATTTAACACACTTTATTCCACTTTATCTCTTCAAATTAGTTCAATTAAACTATAAACTTTTAAATAAATTCACATTTTACACTTATAGCAGTTTTTTTACATAAGAAATCTTTATTTTAAAAATAACATTTTACATTCATAGTGAACACMATTTGTGTGCTCAAAATTACAATGAAATGGAGCGCTGCCATATGATAATAAGGAAATTCGCTGAAATTCCTTTTTTTCCAAAAATTCCTCTATTCATGCATATGGATATTTTATTTTTTAAATTTATTAAGCTGAGATCACACGATTGGTCAAATGTACCAATTTTTTGTCATTTATATGTACAGATCGTGTGACAGCCAGAAAATTCGTGGCATAAGGCAAATTAACAAAAATTTTTTGCAGATAGACCGATAAAATACTTCTCTGTTGTACCAATCATGGAATTGTTGTACAAATCAAGTAAATACAAAAAATGGACAAATGTACCGATAATTTTATCTGCCATTGCAGGACCAATCAATTCAAATAAAGCCAAAATTATGGTTTTTTTATTTTTATTATTATGTATTTAGTTTGTTTCATACAGAGCTGTCAATTAATAATCAAATTAAAATTTGGCAACTCTATGATTATTAAACTAATTCTGTAACCAGTCCCTAATCTCTTTTTGAGACATTTTGTGGTAAAATCTCAATTTGTGACTAGTTACTATTCACTAAACAGTCTCTAGCTTAGTCTCAAACTATTGCCTCAAATTTGAGACCTGGTAGTTAGCAAGTCACAAAACGAAAAAGAACTCTTGTCTGCCATTTCGAATATACTGAATAGAGATCACCATAGATATTAATCGATTGTCGTTTTTTTTGTATTTTGTAAGCAACTGAAACACGAAAAGGTTAAAAATAAATACATTTTACATAAATTTCGTTAATATTATGAAACAAAGCCAACAGATATTTTTATTTTTATTGATAACTATGTTTTTTGACTATGTTATAGAAAATTTAATATTTGTTATCGACATATTTATTTTCATTCAAGTATAAAAACATCTYTGAATAATGAAATGTCACTTACAGATTAGCAAAATCGTCTCAAGTCTCAAAAATTGCCTCTAACCTAAAATCTCAAATTTAGAGACTTGATACTGTATCACAAGTACAGAATCGCACGGTAATAATAATAAATAATTATTAAATTTGGGAGCACTGATATCTACAAAAATAATTGATGCACCACTGCTCTTTATTCCATTTGTCCGTTATTAAACAAGTCACCACATTTATTGGTGAGTATAAATATTTATGATATGTTTATATAAATTTATTTATTTACATTTAATATATTAATATTGTTCATTTATTTTTCAGAATATGGATACAGATGAAGATGAAATCTTTGATAATTTGACTACCGCAATATGCGAAAATATATCCAATATGTCTGCAGAATCAACACCAATGATAAAAAGAGAAAGCGTTTTCAAGTTACAACGGCATGGTCCTCGGAAGATATGTTTAATTTAATAGAAATAATAGAAAAACATCCTTGTCTGTGGGAATATTCTTCATCAGATTATAAAAACCGACAGAAGAGAGAGAACGCATGGAGAGAAGTTGCAGCGAACTGTCATGGCCGTAGCGTTGATGAGTGTAAAGCCAAGTGGGCGAATGTGAAAACAGAGTACAATAATACAAAAAACAAATTACAGGTAAAGTCTGGTCAGAGTGCGTSAAGTTCACAACCTGATTGGCAATTTTGGACTGCAATGCAGTTTTATCATAACCACGGCAAAGAAAAAACGACTTCATCTGTTTGAAATATAAGCCCTGGTAGTGAAAGTTTACCAAACACGCATTTTCAACCCCTCAACATGCAATATCATCGCCAGCTGATGCAGCAACCAATTCGCCAAAAGATATTTTAAAACGCGCAACAGAAAAAGAGGACAAGTGGTATTCCTTCAACATGTACATAGCGTCGCAAATGCGTGAAATGAATGCAAAAAATGAGAAAGCAGCAAAAAATCTTGAAATTAATATATGAAGTGCACTGTAGATGCCCTTTCAGAATTAATTGATGATTGATATTTGATTGAATTGTTTTTTCTTCTATATTAATAAAGTTACAGACATATTTAAATCAATAATTTTATTTAACATAAACATCTATATTGAAATGGTATTTCTCCAGCGGCTATCATAAAATATTGTTCGAACTCCTCACGAATTTCTTTGGCTTCATTGGTTATGTATGTCGTTGGACGTTCCTCAGCTCCTAGTTGGCAATTTTGAGTACCTTGCTCATGAACTGAATCGTCTTGTAGATCATTCCTATCTGTAGTTAAACCTTCCATATAACTGGCATTTTTTTTTTTATTAAAAAATTATGAAAGTCACAGCAGGCCAGTGTTATTTGCCAAATGCATTTGAGACAACGCGCCAACGCGCAACGAGACAACGCGCACGAGACAATCGGTAATTGAATATGCGTTGGTCACGATTTAGCAATGATTGTGGTAAAGGGAATCTCAGTGTGTTATTGTCCAAAGCTTTCTGAAATGAGGACTTTCCAAAAACGCCGCCTTCCGAAACTCTGCCATTGCACCCTACATCAATACAGGGTGGCTGATGAATTTTGCTACATTAAGAAACTCAAATATTTTGTTTT